AGTGCTGACCGTGCTGGCATCAAGGGTCGGGTTTACTCCAACAGCATCTATGAGCTTCTGGAGAATGGGAAGCCGGTGAGCTCACAAGGAGGTAGGGGGTCCCTGGAAGATCCCAAGGACCCTGGGCTCTGACCAAGCGCTGATAAAAATTCAAGATGTTTCTCTGAGTCTTGGTTGGTCCCAGGGCTAGCAAGATTCAGTTCTGAATGGTAATAGTAAATAACATTTCTTAAGCATTTACAGCATGCCAGGTGCCATTCTGAGTGGATCATATTACCATTCCATTGAAACTCACCATGTCTCTGGGGATARGGACTGTTACGATGCCTACCTTACAAAAAAAAGAAACTGAGGCTCAGAGACAGTGAAAAAGTGGATGATTTCAGCTTGAGTATAGTATGCTCTTGATCACCAAGCTGCCCTAAATGCAGGCTGTGAGACCATCTGAAGAGTTTCCTGTAGGTATGGAGAAACCCAGACCATAGTTGGAGCCCAGAGCCCCGCACCCAGACTCCACTTCCAGCTGGAGCAGCTGCTGTAGGTCTTACCCTGGGATCTTAGAAGGATCTGTGAAGGATAAGATTTGCCCACCCTAGTCCTGATTTCAGGAGGGAGGTGTCAGGTGAAGGCAGATCAGAGAGCACAGACAGCATCAGTGGCCACCTCCCAGAACTCAGTCTCTGCAGACTGAGGGAACGGGGCTTCAGCCCAAAGCACTGCAGTCCAGAGTCTGTCTGCCTAGATAGAAACTCAATCTGTTCTTTCTTTCACCTCCTCCAGGCAGGTACCTGTGTCCTGGAGTATGCCACCCCCTTGCAGACCTTGTTTGCCATGTCACAGGATGGCAGAGCTGGCTTTAGCCGGGAGGATCGACTTGAACAGGCCAAACTCTTCTGTCGAACACTTGAGGACATCCTGGCAGAAGTCCCTGAGTGTCAGAACAACTGTCGCCTCATTGTCTACCAGGGTGAGGAGGTGATAGACTGGGGGGGGGGGGGCAGGAGGAGTCAGGGTCTGTGGGTCTCTAGAGAGTCAGAAGGCAGCACTGTTTCCTGAACCATCTCAGGTGGTCAGGGAGGTCAAACCCTACCCCTTTCTTCTGTGGGAAAGGATCCCCTACCAACCTGGGACACTAGATTGCTTTCTGAGGTTTTTGGCTATAGACACTGGGTGGAGCCTGAGAGGTGGGTTCTGGGAGTCCCTTGTTTTATCTAGGAATGCCATAGGAAGCAGAAAAGTCCTTGGTTAGAGAATAAGGAGCACAAGAGAAGAGGGCTGCAGCCTCAGCTCTACCTTGACTGTGTGACCTTTTGTAGCATCATCTCTAAGACCAAGAGAATGGAATTCCATGACCTCTAAAACCACTTCTAACTAGGATTCCATTGAGCCTCTTGCCCCAGAGGCTGTGGGTGGGTGGGAAGAGGGGGTAGGGAGGAATGGGGGATCTTCTCTAAGTATGTTCCAGTGGGTTTAGGATCCTAACTCCTGTCCCATGACCCCACTCCAGAATCTGCAGAGGGGAGCAGCTTCTTGCTGTCACAGGAAGTTCTCCGGCACATGCGGCAGGAGGAAAAAGAGGAGGTTACTTTGAGCAGCATGGGGACCTCAGTGGTGCCCAGTTCCTCCACCCTGTCCCAAGAGCCCAAGCTCCTCATCAGTGATATGGAACAGCCTCTCCCACTCCGCACTGATGTCTTCTGAGGCCCAGGGTCTTCTTGCCTGAGGCTTCGAGAATCAGAACTGGAGCTTGCTTCAACTGCTGGATGTTCAGCAGAGCCATGCCTCCCAAAGAGGACTTTACAGAGAAAGTTTCTGGACTTGACATCTYCAGATGAGTCCTGTATCCATGGGCAAGCCATTTTACCTTTTTGAGCCGTAATCTCTTCTACAAAATGGGATTATAATTATTGCCCTACCTCACAGGGTTGTTGTGAGRACTGTGCATATGTAGAAGTTTTGTCTAAGYTCTAAGTACCAGGTAAACTTAAGGGGTATGCCAGTTATTTTCCATTAGACCCTCTAGTGCCCAGGGACAGATTTGTCTGGGTGGCACAACAGACTCCCTTGTCCTTGGATTTCTGGTCATGTTTGGTCAATGGGGAGCTTCAGCAGGAGAATGGAGGGAGGAAGAGGTTGGGGTGTTTATCCCCGCACCCTCCTGGCAGTTCAGAAGTTGAGTGGGCTCTCTTGACAAGTGACCCTCCTGGCAAACCTGTCCATCTYCAGGTTTTGGGAACTGCCTCCTCTCCTTACCCCTGGCAGTGGCATTGGCTCTCCAGTAGAGGCCTCACCCTCACTTGTGGTTTCCTTATGTCCTGCCCTTTCTCAATGTCCTTTTTTATTTGAAGTGGTGGTGGTGTGTGTGTGTTGAGGTGGGGGGCATGTRCCAGGAATTGAACCCGGGGGCACTGGACCACTGAGCCACATTCCCAGCCCTATTTCATATTTTATTTTGAGACAGGGTCCCACTGAGTTGCTTAGTGCCTCCCAATTGCTGAGCCTGGTTTTGAACTTGCAATTCTCCTGTCTCAGCCCCCCAAGCCTCTGGGATTACAGGCCTGCGCCACCACACCTGACTCTCAATAGTCATTTCTCTAGTCCTTTTTTGAGCTCAGATTACCTACTTTGAGTATGTCATCATTTTGCTGTTAGACTTTGCCAGATTAAAAAAAAATGTGTTTATCTGCTCTGATGTTCAGACCTAAGTCCAAGCATGCTTCGACGCACCTCTCATCCTGTACAGGGCAGTGAGGGRTGGGTGCCACTTCAGTCTGGGCAGAGCCTACCAGTTGGCAAAGAGTCAGGCAGTATCCCCCTAACCTCCCTGCCTTTTCAATGCCCTTTCAGTATCTCCAGTGAGTGGCTTGGGGAGCAGGGGCCAGAGGATAGGCTGAACCAGCACACAGATGCCATGAGTGGCATCCTGGGAAAAGGAGCAGGGCCCACTGAATAAATGTCCCCAGATGAGAGAGCCTGCGATAGGATCAAAGAGGAAGAGTTTGTGTGAGAAGATGGGACATCCCCTGGGATGTCTTGGACAACACAGCTAGTCATCATGCCATATGTTATGGCATCATCCTCAGAACAGAGCCACTGTGGTGGCACAGTTGCCCCTCACTGGGGGGAAGGCAGCCTGTTTCTACTAGTTCCATCTGGGATGACTTGCTCCCTCCCTCCTAACTTTGTTGCTTTTCCAACTTTGTTTTTTGATTCATAGGTTTTTTGTCATTTGTTTTTTTGGTACTGGGGATTGGACCCAGGGGTGCATTACCCCTGGACCACAATTCCAGCCATTTTTATTATTATATTTTTTTWAATTTTGAGATAGCATCTCTTTAATTTGCTTAGGGCCTTGCTAAATTGCTGAGGCTGGCCTTGAATTTGTGACTCTCCTGCCTCAGCCTTCTGAGCCGCTGAGATTACAGACATGCCACGGCACCCAGCTCCWCCTTTGTTTTTAAATTTTTTTTTTCATTTGTAGATGAACACCATACCTTTATTTTATTTATTTGTTTTTATATGGTGCTAAGGATCAAACCCTTTGCCTCACACATGCTAGGCAAGTGCTCTACCACTTAGCTACAACCCCTGCCCCTCCACCTTTTTATTTTTATCACAAATGCTCAATAAGCATTTCTGAGTGCAGCATCACTTTGAAGAAATGTTCCGCACAGAGAAAACCAGCTACTCCTATGGACAACAAAATCAAGGGAATCAAGGGGGAAACTATCCCCTTGCTCAGCTGTTCCAGCCATATTTCTTCCAAGACCTGAGATTCTTCCATCATGTCAGTTACTCTTACACCAGAAACCAGTCCAGAATCAAGGGCCTCGGACTTGACCTTGCTCCACCCATCAGCGCCCAGCAYGGTGGCCAGTTTGTAGAGCTTAATGGCCCCAAGTCCAAACCCTGACTCCAGGTCAAGGATGTGGCTCAGTATACAGTGCTTGCCTAGCATGTATGAGGTCCTGGGTTCCATCCCTACCCAGTACTATAAAACAGGTAAATAGATATAATGTCCTGACTCTACCACTTGGTATTTGCATCTGTCTGGGTGTTTCTTGTTTGTTTGTTTGTTTTGTTTTGTTTTAGTACTGGGAATTGAACCCAGTTGCTCTACCACTGAGCTATACTCCTAGCCCTTTTTTATTTTTTATTCTGAGATGGACTCTCTAAATTGTGCTGTCTGACCTCAAACTTGCAATCTTCCTGCCTCAGCCTCCCAAGTAGCTAAGATTGTGCCATTGTGCCTGGGTAGGAAATGTTTTGTGTAAATTCTAGGCTTATTTCTACAGGTCCATGTGGATAGAAAGTGGGAGATGATGAGAATCCCCACATTCCCCCATCACATCCTAAGAAGGCAAGACAGAGTCAGTGGGGTCCATTCAAAGGCAATCTTTGAACTATAAATGGTGCTTGGGATTTCCAAAGGCTTTAGACATTGTCAACAAAACCTAGGCCCTGCACCAAGATTTGCTCCATCATGGGTGAAAGGCAACCTTTCCTTCCTTGAGTTCTCAGAGTCTCAGAAAAGGCAGATCAAGGGTTCATTGCTGTGGCTGTCCCTGACTGGACTTTAATAGGATCTGGGCACTCTATGGAGCATCTGACATTCCTGATTAGAATTGAGGTGGGTGGTGGAATCTTTCACAGTGGATTCACTTTACCTCAAAAGGGAAGGAGATTAAGGGTGATGGTGTGGGCAGGGACTCAGAGCTTAAGGGTCAGGAGCTCTGTGAAGGGAGGTAAGTCTTCATAAACCTTAGACCCTGGGGATACCCACAGCAGCAGGCCTCTGCGCAGGGCCCTGCTCTCAAGCTTCTTTCATTTTTCCTGTCCATCAAGAGCTCTTTTCAGAAACATTTGGAAAGGGCAGCTCCTGCTCAGTCCAGTATACTCATCTACAGCTCTGATGCTTAGGCTCCAATTTGCTTTTGCTCTAATTCTCAGTCCAGTTTCTTGTGCTGAGCCAGATCAGATTAACTTCCCAAATCTCCCTCTTACAGATATGTTACTTCATCAATACTGGGCCTGGGCCCTTCTGGAGTAGGATCAGATCCAGGGATAGGAGGTCCCTGCTGGTCTTCTTTATGACTGTCCTGGGGGCCCAGCAGCCTCCAGTGGATGAGGTAGATGCCATACTCTGGCTTTGGGGCTGGTGGCTCTGTGGAGAGAGTAGCATGGCCTTGGTGCAGCCTTGGCCCAAAGTGGACTGCCACCACAATACAGACCGCAAGCAGGACAAAGGCGGCAACAATGATGGTGAGTGGTGGCAGCCCGTCTCCTTGAAGTGGTTCCCAGGCTCCACCCAGCACCTCTGGAAGCTGCCTCTGGGGCTCCTGCCCCAATGAACCATTCACAGCTGGAGGAGGAGTCATCAGTCTGGGAAGGGAGGAGAAAAGAGAGGCTGAAGTGGGCATGTACACACAGAAAAAGGTCAAAATGGAGCCGGGAGTGATGGTGCATGCCTGTAATCCTGGCGACTCAGGAGGCTGAGTTGGGAGGATTGCAAGTTCAAGACCTGCCTCAGCAATTTAGCAGGAAATTAAAAAACAAAAAGGGCTGGAGAGGGCTGGGATCGTGGCTCAGAGAAAGAGCGCTTGCCTCGAATGTATGAGGCACTGGGTTTGATCCTCAGCACCACATAAAAATAAATAGACTGTGTTCATCTATAACTAAAAAATAAATTTTTTTTAAAGAGCTGGGGATGTAGCTCAGAAGTGAAGCGCCCCTGGGTTCAATCCCTAGTGACCCCCTCCAAAGAAAAAGACAAAAATAGAAAGAGATTGACACCCAAAGGAAACAGAGAGACAGAGAAACTCAGAGAGGAAAACACACACACACACACACACACACACACACACGAGACAGAGAAACAGAGATAATCACACACATAAACAGAAAATAAAAGACAAAGACAAAAGACAGAGGGGGATACAGAGAGAAAGATACACATGGGAAAAGGAAAAGAAAAGGAGATAAAGATGGAGACTGAAATAAAGATGAAGACAGAGACAAAGAAATGGAAAGACAGCAAGTTAAAGTTGCTCAGAAAAGGGCGAAGAGAAGGGCATCATTATAATCTGGCCAATAGTTTGGTCCCAAGTCCCTTCCCACTGCCTGCCTGCTTTCCCCAGGTCTTAGCAAGATTCCTAAATAGGTCCTGTGTCCTGGGTCAAGAATCTGAGCATGCTATGGGCTGCTGTCCCACGTCCTGGGCAGTGGGCAGTGAACAGCTGCTTCTTAAAGTCCTGGAGAAAGGGAATCATTGTCTGGCCTCTTAGGCTCCCCTACTCCCACTCACTGGAAGGCAAAAAGGTGTTCCTCTGAGGGAGGAAACAGAGAGCATAAAGAACTCCAGAAGCTTGGGGTGAGGYGGGGAGGCCTCATTCTATACTATGTGCCCCCTGCTCCCAGGCGTCAGAGTCAAGTTCTGGAGACTTGAGGGGGCAGTATCCACGGTGTATTCCTGGCTCTGCCAAGGACAAACTGAGGAGATTCAGTGCCAGTACCCCCCCCCCCTGTCAGGATCTCTGGGTTCTACCAAAAGCATGGGGACATAATCCCCACCTATCTATCTCCACCCTGATGGATGGTAGTGAAGGAAACAAAACTCAAAACTGTAATCCCCAGAGTGAGGTCATCACAAGCCTTCCCCTTCCCAGCAGGACCATGCTACAGACCCTAGGGGGAAGGGCACCCTTCTAGCCCTCAGCCCTGCCCTCCTCRTGGGTAGGCAACTGGGGCTCAGGAATGGCTTGCCCCAATTGTCCTCTGTCACACTGTCCTTTCTATCCCATCTCCCTTTGCATAATGTGGAAAGCCCAATACTCACCGCCCCTCCTTGAGCTTTCAGGGACCAGCCATAGGGCTTCCAGGGCAGAGGACAGGAAAGCAGCACCGGATGTAGGGGGTTGGGGGGGAAGCCCAGGACTGGGAAAGGCTTGGGGCCCCTGCAGGGAGTCAGGCCAGCCTGGCAGGAAGGGATGAGCAAGAGTCTACCTGGTTCATTGTCCGGGACTGGTGCAGGGCTCCCGTGGGATTCGAGGCCAGGTAGGCAAAGGCGAGCTGGCTGCCCCCGCTCAGCCCCTACCCGGAGCTGCCACGTCTTCAGGGCTCATGGGGCACACACCCTCWGCACACAATTTTACTACTCTTTCCCGCGCTTGCACTTCCGGGAACATTTGAGCTACCCTGGGCCAGTCGTTAACTCGGATAGTTGATCTTCCTCCTTGGCCCCTCCTTTCTGGCTGCCTGCCAACTTCAGGAGCTGGGTCAGCCCGCCCACCAGATCTCAGCCTCTGCCAGGCTCCCCCTCTCCCGCACCAGGATATGCACTCCCCACCGCCACCTATTTCCTGAAGTTACTGTCCTTTGATCTTCTTTTTATATATTATACTTCAAACTCAAAGGAAAATGTAGATTAACATACACTCCCTATGTAACATATTGTATATATAATAAATCTCTATCTATGGCCCAACCTCCGGCTCTGTTCCTTTCTTATTAGTTTTCTGACATTTATTTATAAAATGTTAAGAATTAAAGTTTATTTTAAAAATCTATTTTTACTTCACGCCWGTAATCCCAGCACTCAGGAGGCTGAGTCAGGAGGATCACAAGTTCAAGGCCAGCCTCAGGATTTAGCAAGACCATAAGCAACTTAGTGAGACCCTGCCTCAAAATATAAAATAAAGAAAAGGTCTGGGGATGTGATTCAGTGGTTACATACCCCTGGGTTCAATCCCCAGGAGAAAAAAAAAT